CCAAATTAAGTAGGCAAATGAGCACACTACGAATGAAGCAGTACGCTTACTGTAAATGATAATTTGTAGCCGGTTCACAAACCGGGAAACAAGCAGGAACGATCCGCGTGTAGGAAGGCAGGCAGGCACGTCGACTCCAGGTCACACGTTGCAGTACATGCGAGTGCGATCAAACCAGCATTCAAACAGTCAGTCAATCGATCAACCGATCGATCGATCAGTCAATTTGGCCACGGGCATGCACGAACATAAATCATTCAGTTGTAGACCACAAAAATACCACGCAGTACTCGTTAACGGGGTTGTGTACAAATGTAGTATATAAAAATGATAGGCCACTGTAAAGCCCTGAAAAAAGTTTTTGTACCGTCATCATCATTTCTGGCAATACACGCGCTCTGACACCAGTGATTTACTTCACTGGTTCTTGTGGACTTTGATCTCTGCTTTAATTTAACTGCTGAGCTATATATTTATCACTTTAAGTAGTACGTGAATGACTGGACAAAATGTCCCTGGAAGCATACGACTAATTTCGCGGTTTCGCGGTTTTTGCTGCTCGTCAGGTACGCTTATCCGGGAATCTTTGGCCAGTTCATTCATATTTGTACCCAGGAATTGTATTTTCGTCAAAACACTTAAATGGACCGAACGTCACAGACTTCGAAGCAGTTAACACAAGATCAAGACCGTCAACCGTCTGGCGATTTGTATAAGCCAAGGGCTGTGAAGCATGTCAGCGCAGCAGCTTTTAGTGCTCATATCCAAGTGTTATGGGGACGTATCGAAAGCACATAAAACGTTTAAAATTTCCCAAATTCTCTTCGAAATTCAACTCTTTTGGAAAACAAACGATCACTCAAGTGATTTAGCCTATAGAGAGCAAACATTGTTTGGCACGCATTTTTCGATCACCTTCACCTTAGTTCGGTTTCCAATCGGTATCCGTTAATCCTATCCCCATCTTATACGGCAAAGTCACATCGGATGGAACACGCGATCAAGTATGTGTCCTGACTCCTGAGTTTGATGGCCATGGAACACAGCGGAGCAATTGGCCAAAAGAAATAATCCCACAAAAGAACAACCGGAATGAAAGACAATCATGACTGAATGAACTCACTTCCCAAAGGGCATCCACGTTTGTTTTACAGTAATGATTTCCTGAGATGAATGCCACAACTTTTCTCTATGACACCATGAGTCAGTCAGTCAGTCAGTCAGTCAGGCGTATCCAGGAATGTATCTAGCAACAACACGTAGTGATGCTCAGATTTGAAAGAACCTACTGAATGGAACGGTTACAGTTCATACACGCGTCATCTATCAAACTGTATCTCTTCTGCAGAATAAACAGTTTATGTCCAAGGTTTTTCTTCCAGGATATTTCCTTTAAAGTTGATTTTGGACTAAATTATCAAATTTCAAACATCTTTAATTTACTCCCTATTAGGTGATTATCTTAACGTTTGCCAAGATGAAAACAATATTTGTTAGACTTAGTCGTTTTGAAATTTACCGAGGTTTCTAATACTTTCATCTGTTTGTCCGGTGGTAGTAGTGGTGTTGGTGGTGATGTACAAAAGGGTTATCTTACATTCATAGACGTGCCCCGTGGAATATATTTCGAGATTCAAATTCTGAAACCACCGGGCACTGTTTCTGGGTCCTAACTATACATCATTTCCACTCTACCGGAGTATTATACAATTCACTATTCGAAGACCCGTGGTTCAGATTTCTGTTTGCCAAAACAGATTTATACGCCTCAAAAAATGTAGGTTTCATTCCATTAGTGTGTGTTCGAAGTTGCCTCAGTACGGTCAGCAGTGGGTGTCAAGGGTTGCAGTTGGTTACCATCCCTTGCTCTTCGCGTAGTGCTCCCGTACGACCAATTGTCTTGAATAGCTTCTGCTTAGGAAGCCGTACTCATTGGCTTGTCGTACTGGCGGACGTGTTTTCCCACCAAAGTGAGAGGACGAAAATCCAACATCCGGGGCTTTAATCGGATTGGGGGGGGGGACCAAGGGTAGTTAACCTAGGGGAGTTGGCCGAGAACCCTGATTCCAAACCAAGGATTGGGAGACGTACGAATCACACACACACACACACACACAACCTCCTGGTTTTGGCGGTGGTCACCGGCTCGATTAGGCATTAGGTGTATTGGGCACTTTGGACGTTTGACTCCGTCCAAAGGGCGTATGATCCAATGAACTGGAAACCGATTCCAAATAGGTTGCGGTTTTCACATACTGCCGCACTGTCTCGCGGGTCAAGCTTTGGATCCGATTCGGAATCCTGTCTTGGCCTGGGAAACCCGACACTATTCCGCCCAAGTGCGTTTCATGGAAAGTTGTTCTTTTTTACCGAGATTATTGTTTGAGATTATTGTTTGTTTTGCATAGCTCTTTCAGAGCCATTCCATTGGAGAATCAATGCTATGATTCAATGTTTGGTCAATATACATATATATATATATATATATGCGAAAGCTGAGAAAAACGTTTCCAGATGCACATCACCATTCATCTGTTACACAAAAATATATAATTATATATATGACAATTTTGTAAACAACGGTGTCGATTGTTGTTTTTGTAGCTCGGGTGGTATAATATGATGTTCAGTTGTTGCCAAGCTCGGCGAACAGCTGAACATCATTTATATATATTTTCACAGACGTCTGATTCCAGACTGTATGCCAAACGAATCATGGTACGATCATTATTAAGAAAAGGTTAAACGTTCCACGATTTGCATGTGGGGGAATAGTGGCTGGTTGCCTACGCCAATGCAAGGCAATTTTCTTGGGGAATCCACAACCGGAGCCTTTGGCTAGTCAAAGCCTGAACTGCAAGGAAGCGGGGCGGTATGTGGAATCACAATCTGTTGGAGGCCGATGCTCACTTCACCGGATCATACGGCCTTGGGACAGGGTCCATCGTACAAGGTGCCCAATACACCTTGATGCTCAATCGAGCTGATGACCACTGCCACAACCAGAAAGTTATGTCTGTGGTTCTTACGCCTCCTTTTGGTTAGTTTGGAACCAGGGGTTTTGGTCAACTCTCCTAGGTGAACTACCAGTGGTCCACCAACCCGGTTATAGCCCCGGATATTGAATTTCTGTCCTCTCACTTTGGTGGGAAACACCTCCGCCCCACGAGCGGGCAGTGAGTAGGACTTCCTCAGCAGAGGCTATTTGAGAAGCTTGGCCGTATGGGAGCATTTCAGAGAGCGAGATGCAAGGGGTGGGGTGGCCAGCTGCAACCCTAGACACCCATCCCTGACCATACTCAGAGGCTTTTGGAGGCTAAACGAAAATGGATATGACATTTTTTTCGAAATACGCTCGACCAGCGTTTTGGCATCGAGTTCCATGCGCTCAAACCATCTTGTGAAACAAGTCGATCGTGCCACAGCTGTCAGTCGTTCGATCAGTTCAATGGAGGCCTCTACTGCAGTTGATGGACACTCGCATCGGGATTCCACGCAACATGTGCTTGACATTTGGGAACAAAATAATGTCCTACGGAGCCAGGTCTGGACTGTACGATGGGTTATCAGCCTCCTTTATGCGTTCTTCAGCTTTGAAGTAGCCGATGACATGGGATCTGTATGCAGGTGCGTTGTCAAGATGTAGCAAGGTTCTTCGTGCTCGAGTCCTTCGACGAAGCGCTTTCGGTGGATAGTAGGTGGTGTAACACTCTCCGATGTCTGTACTTTGCCGTACGAGCGGTACAGTTGGCACATGACCGGTTTGGGCCACCATCTGCTTTGCCACACTGCGCTCGCAGTGGCATTTCTGAGACGACGCCCCAACAGGCGGCGTCCACTGAACCCATTGTTGTGAATCGTGCATGCCTCACCACGGCAGCAATCTTGCCCGCTGTGGTGGTCCTCACCGGTCGACCACAACGAGTTTCGTCATCCAGGGACCGCTGGCCACGTTTGAACTCCGAAAACCACTCAAACACAGTGCTTCTTGACTGTGCGTCATCACCAAAGGCAGCAGCTACTGCTGCTCTGAGCTGTGCTCTCGGTTGTAAAACATTCGCAATAGATTACACTTCACGTTTTCCTTGCCCGGCAATCTGCACCTCGTACTCGTCGCATCTGAAATCGTTCTGTTCATCCCTCGTATAGTTGCATAATCATCTTCGAGACAGCCAAAACGTCAGATTCTAAAACGTGCAGATACAAACTCCAGTTCAAACACTGATAGTTTCAAGCAACTGGTTAAACTATGGTAGAGATTACAATTTAAATTACTTTATGCACTCGCTGTAGTTGAAACGCGTTGATATTCCGGTACTAATGTACACCTTAGTCCGATGTTACCAGTTCATCATAG